TTGTAATAATGCTAGGCATAAGTGATATGCTTCAAATTTTTTAATACTATACCCAAACGGTCAGTTTTGTAACTGATATAGTACTGTTGTCGTCATAGGCGGATCTAGGGGAGGGGCCAAAGGTGTTTCCCCTCCCCCCTTTCCCACTGGTACAGGCACCAGTGCTGCAAAAACCCGGGTCTGTTCATAAATAAAACTACTAAAGTAACTCTAATTGTAATTTTAATTTTAGATGATGTGTGTTTATGTAAGAAGTAAGGGAATAAAAGGGGGATGTGAATAAGTTAAAATCTGAATAAAAATCTGAATGAGAATGTTTCGGTCCATCAAGTCGCATACATTCCTGTTCAGTGTTGCAACTGAACCTCGTCAGTGTGACGGTTGCAGCGAAAATAACATGCAATGTGTCAAAAAGAAAAAGGAAAATTAAGATAAAGTAGAAAGGTTAAAGCAGAGGTTAAAAGTGCATTTTATGAATCAGTACCTTCACCATTACGAATGTTGAAAAGCATACTAAATGTAATTAAGTCAAATTGTTGATGGGGGAATGACTAAAAATTGTACGTGTATGTGGGACTTTTAATGGGAGGAGTTAGAATTGGATTTTTTTTTTGAAGGAGGTTAATGAAAATAGAGGTTATAATTAACTGGTAACTGTTGCGACTAGTAGTGACCAATGGTAGAAGGACACAAGACAAAAGTGGTTGAGGAAAAGAAAGGATAGTTATATAGGTGGATATTTTGTGACAAAGGTAGAAACATGTGTTGTGAGTATGTGAAAAGGAGTATGTAGATTTTGCTATCTGTGTTTCATCCCTAAGCTACAAACATAGACAGAATGTGGTGTGGTATGGGGCGGGAATTATCAGTGTAGCCCTCAGACCACTATTTGTGAAAGTTAAAGTGACTCTAAAGTAGCAGCGATGTTACAACTCTATTCCTAGTTTTTTGCATAGTTTTGAGATGGGAGGGGACTCTTCTCCCCACCCCCAGGAGCCGTACTCCTCCCTCCCACTCCCCGCCTCGCTCTCATCCCTCCCGCCCCCGTCCGAGAAGTCCGTCCTGGATCCGCCCATATCTGTTGTCGTCCTCTATACCTTTAAAATAAAGTTTCATAAGGCTGGAAT